CCAAAAACATAAAAATTAGAATATACAAAACTATAATTTTGCCTGTGGTTCTGTATGGGTGTGAAACTTGGTATCTGACATTAAGGGAGGAACATAGACTGAGGGTGTTTGAGAACAGGGTGTTGAGGAGAATATTTGGACCAAAGAGAGATGAAGTCACAGGAAGCTGGAGAAAACTGCATAATGAAGAGCTTCATAACTTGTACTCTTCTCCAAGTATAATTAGAATGATCAAGTCAAGGAGGATGAGGTGGGAAGGTCATGTAGCACGAATGGGGGAGACGAGGAATGCGTATAGGATATTGGTGGGAAAGCCAGAAGGAAAGAGACCACAGGGAAGACCAAGGCGTAGGTGGGTGGACAATATTAGAATGGATCTTAGAGAGATAGGATGGGATGATATGGATTGGATAGATCTGGCTCAGGATAGGGACCAGTGGAGGGCTCTTGTGAACACGGTAATGAACCTTCGGGTTCCATAAAATGCTGGGAAATTCTTGAGTAGCTGCAGAATTGGCGGCTCCTCCAGAAGGGGTCAGCTCCATGAGTAAGTAAGTATAGCAAAAATGGGAATCCACAAGACCCTGAATTAGGTAACATGCTATTATGGATATCAGAGTCGTATACGGTTCATATACTCGGCATTATATATAGCTAAGACATATATATACACATTGGAGAAGGAACATTGACTTTTAGGAAGCAATTAATGGCCGGGGGGATCCGTTGAGCTGACCACCTGACACCTTCTATCCGCAAAAGCTGGCACTAAATTCGTCGACAAGCAGCGGTCGCTAGGTCGGTATATTTCCCTTGCGGACTAAAGGTTAGGAGTTCTGTTTTTTTCTCTCTAATACAATGCAGCATTTCTGGTCAAATTTAAGTTCTCATAATTCTTTGTTCTTCAATAAGAGAGAAAATTTTTGAAAGTATAATAATAATGATAACTTCCATTGAAGATATATAAATAGTTCCAATCGAATTATTTATTTATTTACTTATTCTTTCATCCTTCCATTTGTTTCCCGATTTACTGAACGCAAGTTTACGTGCTCCTCGCACATCCATCTTCGCAAGGTGTCGCATTTACCCCTCAGTATCAGTTATCATACTTTTATATGAAAGGTGCCAACACGTCTCCCGTTTTCGTCATAAAAAGCAAAAGCATGATACGGCTCGTGAGACTGAACCACCGGTCCTGTTCTGAACGGCAAGTGCCGTAACGGCTCGTATGCTTCAGATTACGGAAGCGGGTGGATCTAGAAGAAAAACATGACATGTGCCATTTTGCATTGTGCATATCAATGCGCTTTCTAGAACAAAAGTCACGTAAGCCTGCTTCACTTCCAGTCATTGGGAAATTTACTCAGTTCCGTTGTGATTTAATTGATAGGTGCCATGATCAGTTCAATCAGGGTTCAGTCAAATGTAGATCCCGTTCAGTCTGCTATAATCACACACGTACGCAGACAGCATCTGGCTCATAGCTGAAGCATATTTCGTGCCGTAGTTAATGCCTATTCTGCTACTTGTTAGGAAGGATGGGGAATGTATGAAGCATAAACATTCTATTTTAAATGGCACCTGTCGCCACAAAGACGGTCACATCCTTGCTATGGCTCTGTATCAGAAGACGCGTTCCAAATTGTACACCCCCTTCCCCTATCATAAACACCCCTCTAACCGAATTATATGCACGTAGTCTATATACATCAAAACATCCGCTGTCATATAAAACACATAATATCCCACCTTTGTCAAGTTAAGCTTGTCTTGAGCATAGCCAGAACTTGTTTCAGTACCATTCCCAAACGCCATTATAGTCCTCGCCTTCTGATTGGTTGAACAGGTTTTTAAAATCTTCGGACGGGTTCTTAAGAAAATGTGACTATGAGGGAGGAGAGAAAGCGAGAAAGACACAGGTGGAAACATGAGAAAAGATGAAGAAGTGGCGGAGGACTGGAGCATGCCCCTGAAGGCCGGTTTCTACCCACAGGTAAGAACTGGTCACGCGGGTACATGTTACTACAAAAGTTTTGTGCACAGGCTGCGGGTAAAAGACCGAAGCGAGGATTTAATATTATAATTATAACTTCAGTAGTCCTGACTGCAAAGTGCAGAGAATGAAAGTACAGACATCGACTGGCACATTTTCGTATCCTGATGTATCGTTAGATTTTCCAATGTACAACTATATCTTGAGTGACAGAAGTGCATTTGAATGACACTTTATTTCACTCTAAGGAATATTTTATTAAAATAAATAAAAATATTACGATTCCTAAATTTATTTAATGTTGTTGTAATAAGCAATATATATATATAAGCAGCTACATTAATGAGTTTACATTAATACAGTGTTGTTCGCATTTTTCAAAGTACACCGTTTCGTAACGTTTGTTTAGAAAACAACTTTTTCTCTTCAATTTTAATTGAGAGTAATATGATTCCCATATCCAATTTTTATATTTTCTAATGACACTTCCTACCCATTCATGGCCAAGGTCTCTTTTCCAGTTCCGTAATCACTATTTAGAGACTGTAGGATTCCTTGCACGAGTGATCAGCCCGTCGCAAGACCGCTACCTAAACACAGGACAGCACGAACATAGAACAAACGCATA